GTTTTTGCCTTCAGCTTTATGAAACACGGTGCATGTGTGGCTCTTTACATAGATAGAGACTGTTTAGGGATGCAAGCATACATTAAAAGATAAAAATGGTAAATATAGGTATTTTGCAGCTTCTCAGCCTAGAGATATGAGGAAAATCTGCAAAAGATTTTTTTAATCTGTTTATTTTAAAGGGATCCCAGATTAGTTGTAACATTAGACTTTATTAGATAAACATATATTTTAACTGCAAAATAAAGACTGTAAAAATGCTGTAGGCTGTTTAGTTTTTATAATTTTTAAAAATATGTTTCAACATGGATGGAGCCATTTTATTTACACACAAAGCATTCTGGGTAAATGATGACGTCCTCCATCTATATTTTCAGTTACAGGCTGAGTCATTTCTACCTTCTCCTCTCTGTCAACGCTCTCTGGTTTCATTTAAAAGAGTCGATCATCAGATATTGTCCAAGATTATCCTTCAGGGTGGATATAGCTCGCTAACAGCCTCGCACCGATGACCTATCCACATCATCATTTACCCAGAATGCTTTGCGTGTAAATAAAATGGCCCTGTCAGTATAATATATTTTTTAACTTTTAGTTTAAAAATTATAAAAACTAAACAGCCTACAGTATTTTTACAGTCTTTATTTTACAGTTTAAATATCTGTTTATCAAATAAAGTCTAATGTTACAACTAATCATGGATCCCTTTAAAGCTTTTTGAAGCTTCAGCAGCATGTCGTCTGCRTTCACTCACCAGCTGATAGTTTTTTTCTCCAAAAGCTGCTCTACATGTTAGAGCAACACACTCCTAAGTCTTTGTGCATGCTGTGTCATCAGTTCAACAAAATGTGTTTGATAGCTTTAATTTGCTTAAATAAACATACATCATGCATAATGTGAAAACTTACACCACATGTTCTATAATGAGCCCAGTCAAGTGTTATCMGAGCTAAATGCTGACCCAGCACTCTACTACTGCTGTGATAAAATGTCCAAGCGTTTCTACTTCTAACCAGAGCAGAAAATAACTGCTCTWATAAGTAATTAGGTACTTTACATGTCTGCTTAGACCTCTGCTACTAGCGTCTGGAGTTAATTTGACTGAGATTAATAACTTCACTTATTTGAAGTGCCGCCGCCAATTATCAGAACAATTATTGGACAAACATTGGGACTCCTTTTTCTGAGTTTGGATTGTTTTACTCTGAAGGTCTGCTGCCATTCTGGAAGTAATTAAGTACACCCACATTGCTAAATGTRGCAAAATAGATGCACTAATTCTTGTCTCTTTAGCGTAAATTGTGCTGGACCTGATTATTCTCGTGTTTCTGTAGTTGAGGAGATTTTGCTGGGGAACCCACCACCAGAAAGACTGGCAAACGTTTTAAAGGGGCAATAATATGTGTTTTTCAGGCCTATATTTAAGTTCTATACCATAATAAAGAATCTATGTCACCATTAGTTATTATTAAAATGCGGTTTTTATGTTTAAATAGAAAATAAACTTCTCATCCTTTCCATTTCTAAACACCTTGAAATTGGCCTCTGTCTCTTTAAGAACTTCCTTCCGCTTCTGTCCCACCCATTTCAACATGGGGGTTGGGGATGTCTCAGGACAGCACAGGATTTCTCAAACATGTATGAATGAGTCAAAGCAAGACTTTGGGCATGTTTTTGATGAGAGGATAACATTATAACATGACATAAAACTCAAAAAAGTTGATTTTACGATTTAGCCCCTTTAAAATAAGGCTTACCAGGGCCTTTTGGGGACCTGATGGTTTTATGTCCTAAGATGTAAAACTTGAGATTTTAAACACACTGTAGTTGAACTGCTTTGCCTTTATTAGGGTCTCATTTCAGGCTACTGAAGGCAGAAAGGCCAACTCTCTTAGGCAAAGATTGCTAATATTTTTCAGGAGATATCAGGTCAGTCTTGAGCCCCTGGAGCAGCAGTCCCAACTCAGACAGAACCAGATAAAAACTAGTTCAGATTTTATTAGAGGAAAATTAGGCTGAGATCCATTGTCTTTTATAATGAGACTCCTCTGGGAGAGATTCAGTTAAAATAGCAATGAGTTTCAGGGTGTTTATTTAAAAACTAAGGCACACAAAAACACACAGGGATGAAGAGATGAAAACACTTACAGACAGGAAGCAGATATAATGCAGAACATTTGAAAATTATGAGATGAAATTTAGATAAAGTTATCTATGTAGGATAAGACTCATATTTCAGCTTGACAGCCTCCCTTACACGAAGTGTCCACCACCGAGTTTGAGGATGGACACCCTTAAGTTGTGGACAACTTTTTGGCCAAAACTCAACAGTCGCCTCGACAATGAAGGTGCAAAACATGGCCCACTCAGACTCAGTGTCTACCAGGTCAACCCATTCTCACTCCCAAGTCATCACATATTGATGCTTTTCCAAGGTTCCCTCTGCGCCCAATTTTGACGCCTTGGGTACCCCCCGCACGTCAGTTATTGACGAGATGGGGCGGAATCTGTTGTCATAACTTCAGAAAGTGTAGAAAATGCACAAAAACTACCATCCCAAAACCTAAAATTACTTTATTCACTTTAGACATCCTGTCCCTGACCCTAGCACCTAAAATTAACCAATAACCCTGATACCTAAAATTAACCATTTTTAGAAAATGTAGGAAATTCACTTCAACTACGTGTTCCAAAGCCTAAAATTACCTAATATTCACTGTAGACATCCTATCCCTGACCCCAGTACCTAAACTTAACCATTAATCCTGATCCCTCATGTTAACCTCAGACCCCCGACCCAAAGACCCCTGGTGGCGCTACCCGGAAAAGCCGCGGGTGGCAAAGACTGATGCGAGAGGGTCACCCGACGCGTCAAAATAAGACGCAGAGGGAACTTTGGAAAAGCGTCAATATGTTGACGAGTCGGGAGTGAGAATGTGTTAACCAGGTCTGATCCAACTCACCACCAGGTGGTGATTGGCTGACCCTCTCTTTAACCGTGTGTCCAAAACATACAGCCGATCAGATGACACRACTACAAAGTCAGTCACCTAGGGTGTCCTGGTGCCATGTAGACTTATGGACACCCGTATAGAGGAAGCAAAATATGCCTTTATTTCCATTGTACCGTCCACTGTCTGAATCTAGTTTTATTAGATAGAGTCAACGCTGTCCCGGAGGTAGAGGAGTTTTTCTACTTATTAGAAAAACTATGTATGTTCACATCTGGATCAGCTGTCCATTCTAAATGGCTAGCTATACAAAAAGTGATGTACAAAGGTGCGCCAATAGAGCTCCAGCGTTTAAGTGACATTCGTTGGGATGTCGATTTACAGCACTGTGAAACATCATGGATAGCCTGCCTGCCCTTAAGAATACTGTAAAAGATAACCCAAGAACATAATGGTGAATGATCTGCTCAGGCATGAGGTCTGCTGGCACATCTAGATCTTGAATTCATAGTGCACCTTAACACTCTGTAAAGTGTTTGGAGAAACAAAACTTCTCTCTGATAGGCTACAGACTGTAAAATAGCAGTTGTAATCCCAGTGAGGACTGCTTCTTGTGAACAGAGTTTTTCTACATTAAAGCTTRTGAAAACATACCTCAGATCCACCATGAATGATGAGAGATTAAGCAATCTGGGTGTACATCAWGTCTAGGAGGGCAGAGGCTCTGAGTCTTGACTCATTTGTTGATCGTTTGCCAGAAATCACCAAAATCACAGAATACAGTTGCTGTAATAGCAGGGAGGCCAATATTTTCTCCATTCAATACAGTTAAAATGTTACCATTTTTTATGTCTGTGTCTCATATGTGATATTTTGAACCATTTACTTTGCTTTATTTTTTATAAAAGTAAAAATGAATAAACAAAACCTCTGGCCCCAACCAGTCCCCCTCAGTAAAATTGGTGCAGAACCGCCACTTTTTAGTGATTCATTCTGGGGTTTTTTTTTTTTTTACGTATTTTCACTTATTCACAGTAATAGGGTGGTACAAGTCAACGCCCTGCGTTTTTCAGTAGATTTATCATATTAATATATTTATTATGGATGCACGACATATTGACATTAACATCAGTATTGGCTGATATTGGTCATTTTTCAGAATATTGTATTGGTCCAATAAGTAAAACTGGGCCTGTATTAACGTCCAATATTAATTTCCCACTTCTTAGCCTTGTGTTTGTGTTTTGGGAGTGGAGACGGTCGAGTGGTCTCTGTTTGATCATGATAGTGTTAGTGACGCTGCACAGCCAGCAAAAACTGAAATAGAGAGTCAGCAGTCTGGTCATTTTATTACAGTATCAAAACAAAAGACACAAGAGTATTTGTGTGTATATGTATATAAATAGTTTGTGTGTTTGTGTAACATCAGGAAATATTGGTTATCGGCCATAACACCAATAATAAWATTGGATATCAATATCGGTTGAAATTTTCATTATTTTGTGTGTGGGTATTTATACTGTATGTCTGTGTCTAAATTGACTTGAAATGAACTGACAGCAATATTAAGTACTATCAGCTCCTCCGATAGATGTCATTAGGGTGTTTAAAATTCTGCCCTACAGACACTTTCTGTTGGTTTTTAGCTCATTGATATGAACAATAGACCTAACGTAAGCTCATAAAATGCAGGAACGGTATTTGCAAACCTTGTGTCCATTCCAACAGAGGACATCTTCTAGTTAAAATATATTTGGAGCAGAAAGAGCAAACCAAACAGACTTACTTTACAGGATAATTTCTTGGGGTGCCATGCTTTTTGTCTACAATTTTATTAGTTTATTCTTTTTAAACTTCTCTGTTGACTGTTGACTCAAACGTAATAACTAATTTTAGTTATACTTTTTTCTTAAAGGCACAGTGTGTAGGATTTTSTCAATTCTTTTAGCCGAAACTGAGATGATCACTAATGACAATAATAAAAACATGTCTAATCATTGCAGACAAAGRCCTTGTTTTATTATTTTTACCTTATAAAAAGCTGTTTATATCTCCATGGTCGCGGGTCGCCACTACAGGCAGCCGCCATCTTGTCTACGAAGGCTCATGAAGGACAAACTGCGGTGGTGGTGTCAAAAACGGTTTTAGTTGTAATCCTATAAATGTAATATTTGTTGTCTGTCATTGTAGCTGGGATAATTTTACTTATTAAAGCTCATAATCTTACCACTTGAAACATCACTAGCCCTGAAGCTGCTGGTAGACATCGTGGTTGGAATTACCAAAGGTTTTTGACACCTGAGAGACACCGTAGCAACTCCTTTGTGTTTGGAAGCGGGGGGTGGGGGTGGGGGGAGGACCAGGGAGGATGATTCAACCACTCAACCACTAGATGTCGCTGAAAACAACAAATCCTACACACTGTGCCATTAATACTCTATAACTTTTGTTGGTTCATCCGTCCGTTTTCTGCCACTTATCCGGGGTTGGGTCGCGGGGGCAGCAGCCTAAGCAAAGAGACCCAGACATCACTGTATAACTTTTGTTGGTTTCAAGTTATTTCTGTGACCTTTGTTGTTTTTCTTTCTTTAACAAAGGTTAGCCCACATCTGTGTCTGTATTGCTCAATCCATCTTTTTTTTTGTCTTTAACCTCTTAGGCTACGGCATGATGACAGATGGCACCACGACATTCATCAACGCCTCGGCCTGTACAGTGAACTTCCTGCCCATGAACCCACCTATTGTCTTCGATCTTCCCAACCCCAGAACCACATGACGAGAAAAGACAGGACACCACTCCCCTACTGTCTGTCCAGAGAAAGAATACTGAAAGATGAACAGCTTCAGTGGTCAGATCAAATTTTGTAAATATTATGCAGGGATGTGTATTTCATGGACATGCAAGAGTACGTTTGAGGAGCTCACGGAGTACCGGATGGACACTCCGTTTGACTTTCAGTGGTATTTTTTGTGTCTGAACTTCTTCATCAACACTGAGATCAAAACAAAAGCAGAAACATTTTGTGGGGAGACTTTCATATGCAGACAAGTGGATGTTTTTGAGTCAAAACTGCACTGACAATCTGATGCTGCTCCCAGAGACAAAAAAAAAGRAAAACATTTTAAATTCACTCAACATAAAAAATCAAATGCCTCATCTATGTTGAAATCTTGGCTACAAAAATGTCATACCACTCTGCTTTTCTACATTTATTTTCCAATTACCCCTTCACACAAACTTCCTYAGACTGCCCTTTTTCCTCTTCCTCTCAAGCCCACAGCAAGCTGGAGTTTTTTTTGTCTTGTTTCTCTTTCAGCATATGTTATGCAAGAAATCAAAGAAGTGCACTAGGGCAACGAGAGGTCTCTGCCATGAGCTAAATGAATGTATAATACTGTATGCCCCCCATCCCCAAAGGCTTGTTACACGGATGAGCCTCTAAACCACCTGAAAGGAAGAAAACAAAGACCTGCACATGTTGCTTTGAATCATTTTTCTGCACACGGACTAAGCCAAGCTTTGGAAAGACAAGTTTGTAGAATCTGAGAAAGGAACCCACATGAAATCTAAAGGTGCTATAAGCTAACACTGTTATCCATTCAAATGAACTAAACTCTAGAATGGACACAGTGCTTACGCTGTTTAAGAAGACTCAATCATGCTTTTTATTGGACTGCTGGACCTTTCTTTTTTTTCTTAAAAAAAATCAAAGCTGTAATTATAAGGAACTGTAACCAAGTTATTTAACTGTCCTTTGTCAAAGGAAAAATGACYGAGTTTTTCTTAAAGGTTTACAAGCAAACATGCTTTTAAAAATGATAAATATTTGTGGTTGTTTCATTCCTCTGGTCAATTTCTTGGTATTGTAAATGTTAGCTGTCGTATTTTTTTTTCTTTTTTATCTCTGTTCAACGCCATTTATTGAAAACCTATTTATTGTCCTTAAGCTGTAGGAAATTTAAAAAAAAAACTGAAAAGAGAAAAACCTGTATTTTTTTTTCTGGATATGCGTATTTGAATAAGCTCTGAATAACAAGACCAAGTTCCACTTTGACATCTGTGTCCTCTGATATMATGTATGAGGTGTCCATCACACCAGGGGAAAGTCTCCAGGTTTTCAAAAAGACAAAAGAAGAAAGGGCAGTGGAAGAAAGATGCTTTTAAGTTCTAGTGTTTGGAAGAAAGAAACTACTGGACTACATGGCTAAATACTCAGAYGTTAAGCAGATTCAAAGATAATAACTAAGACTAAAAAATAGGGCCTGAACAGTTTAACTTTCAGTAATTTGGTTACAGGCCTTACATTTTTGGTCATGTGAGCTCACTCATCAGTTGAGCGTACCATTAATTGTTTTCTTTTGGGTTTTTGGGCATTTGTTCTTACAAATGATGTGGCCATAGGAAAATAAATGGCACAGATCTTGTGGCTGAGCCACTCGTTTAGATCCATAATGTGTGCGTATGCACTCCTGTGATGGGCCACATACAGTCSACAGAAAAGGAAAACTAAAGTTAAGAGCTCAGTTTGGAAGTGAATAACAATAGGGCCTGCCACTGAAAGCATACTTACATCGTTCAATGCTTTCCTAATGACAGGCACATTTAAAGATGGTCATTGTAATTAAGTGCATCAYATTTTTGTTGAAATTTATTAAATATTCCAAACAAGAAAATGTGTTTTCCTTCAAGTAATATTACGATGTACTTTTTTTCTGCAAACAGTCGATCAACTCAGATTAGTTACGCTTTATATTCACTGGCCTACATGTAACCAATGACAGCTGATGCTTAAAACAATTAAAAACTTGACGCAATGGTACCTGGCAGTGATACATCAGACAGGAAATACCCATTTTGTCACAAAGTGATGTGCTGGAATTTAAAAAAAGTTGGATCAGTATTGTTTGAGTAATTTTAACAAAGGATCAAATTTTGATACTGCACCTCATGTAGGACATTTTCAGTCTGCATGGATCACGACACACTGAAAGTGGATRAGGAACGGAAACTGGTGACTATTTCATTGACATGGAGAGAGAGTTAGAATTAGAACTCCTTTTATTGCCATTGTACAACTAGCAAGAAATTTACAAATGAGCAGCTCTTGAAGGCAGTGCAAAAATAACAGTTCTCAAAAACAGTAATTAAGTATACAATGAAATAAGAGAAGTAAAGTTTAAATGGAAGAATAAAGAAGGCTGCATACGTATGTTATTTCTGGCGACAGAACGGTATTTCAACCTGGAGAGACTCACACGAAGACAGACTGAAATTAGGAAGTTTATTGACATGAATGGCACTCGGACCCCGGCAGAGGATGTGAGCGCTGTGAGATGATGTAGGCTCGGATGAGCTGCTTTAGAT